TTGTCTTTTTGTTATTGAGGTGTTGGAGTGTTCTATAAATTCTAGAGATAAGTCCCTTGTCAGATATGTTATTACCAAATATTTTTTCCCAATCTGTAGATTCTCTTTTGACTCTTTTGGAGAAGTCTTTGGAAGCACATAAAAATTTAATTTTTAGAAGGTCCCAGTCATCTGGCTTCAAAAGAGGCATTTATTATGGGAAATGATGATGAAATTAGATTTGCCATGTTGTTGTTTTTGTTATGTGCTATCAAGTTGGACCCGACTCCTAGCGACCCCTCCTTGGGTTGCCAAGGCAGTATCACTACCGAAGTAGATTGTTCAACCTTCCTTCCGAGGAGTGACTGGTGGATTTGTACTGCCAACTTTCTGGTTAGCAGTCAAGTGCCTTAGGCACTATGCTGCCAGAGCTCCCTAGCTTTGCCATATTCCCCAGTTATTCTCAAGTATAAAATAATGTGCTTCTCTCTCCTTTATTCCCACTGCTCCTTCCCTCCGTCTATCTGGCAATCACTGTACATAAAGATAAATATTATTGATATATGAGCATATTGTACATATGAATGTAAAAAAAAGGCAGAGAAATATTGAGAACTGTTCTCTATTCTGTAAATTCAAAGCAGATTACTTTATTGGAAGACTTATCTAAGTTTTCTCTTAATATGTAACATTTCTTATTTTAAAAAAATGCATTTTATTGAAATACAATTTTTGTACAGTGAAATACACAAAACTAAAGTGATAATGGGTCGATGCATTTTTTTTGCAGTGTTCCCTCCCCTTGCCTCCCATCCCTGACAACCAAAACAAAAATTTTCCTTCCATATATAAACCTTCCTTTGACCCTCCACAACAACAAACTAATACTGTATTTGTCCTTCTGTGATTGACTTATTTCACTCAGCATAATGTTCTCCAAGTTCATCCATATTATGCGATGTCTTGCAGACTCTACATTATTCTTTAGTGCTGCATAACATTCCATTATGTGTGTGTACCATAGTTTGGTCATCCATTCTTCCACTATGAATCTTAGAGATGAGTCTCTTGCCAGATATGTAATTAT